GTGTGCGTGTGTGTGAGTGTGAGTGTGTGTGAGTGTGCGCGTGAGTGTGTGCGTGTGTGTGTGAGTGTGAGTGTCTGTGTGTGAGTGTGTGTGAGTGTGTGTGAGTGTGCGCGTGCTGATCATTATGTGATCTTCATTATTTCAGCACAGCAAGTTCTCTTCAATTCTATTTTTTCTTAATGAGTTTCAAAATCCACTATGAACCCAAACCCAGATGAAAAGAAAGAAATCCTTCCCTCAGAGAGAAACAGACCCATAAATGAGCTCTGAAGACGAGCAGCTGCAGAAGATCATCAGGAACAGCTGCAGCGTTTGCTTCGATCGTCTCTGTAACAGACGCGTCCATGTCAACATACACTACATATATAGAGTGTGAGCATAGTAAAGCAGCAGCAGAAGTTCCCTTTCAGCCAGAAGACACCATCTACTCCTAATCACTAATGTGCGTCCCTGACGAGGGCGTATTTTATGGCTTTATCAGGTAACAGCAGCCGCTCGGGACTGATTTAACTGCTGCTGTACAGATCCACATTACTGGAGCTCAATCCTCGACTGTCTCTCAGCCGCCGGCCGCCCAGATTCTGAACACCAGAACAAAACAGAGAGAAGAAGGTGAGGAAAGCATCTTCAGACTCAACATTAAATCCCTGAACTCATGTTCCTGGTGTTACTGTGAATGATTCTAAGAAAATCTTTTTCATAATCGTGACTCTCTTCTTGTCACTAAATAAAGCTGATCTGAACACTTCACATCATCTGCGCGTGGATAAGCTCCAGCTGCTCTTATTGAATTTACTCTTGGATATCCGTCACATTAATATGGAAGCTCGTTTACATCACAGAATTAAATACATAAACATAACTGCAACTTTATGTCTCACAGTTTTTCCTTTTTCCTCTCAATTTTGAGTTTATATCTTATATTTTTAGATAAAATTGCAAGAAGACCGTTGGAGTGATCTTAGTTACCTGGAAGGACTCGTCGCCCGTCTTGTTCAGGACGCTGAGTGAAGCGGCGCGTTTCATTCTGTAGAGAAAAACACAAATCTAATATCTGACAGCCAAAGAGCAGAAGATGCAGAATGTTTAACACTGAATGTCTTCAAACAATAACTCAAATGCATGTTCATGTACAGCAGAAGAACATTAGTAAATCAAATCTGTAAAATTTTTACAAAAGCTAAACATTTTCTTTCAGGGTTTGTGTTCATCTGTCGTCAACAGAACTCATCCAAACTCATTTACTTCATCACTCAAACTTTAAGTTAAAGACTAAAACAAAATAAAAAAACAATTTTATTAACTAAAGTAACATGAGATACAAATTACAACAATACAAAACATAAAAACTACCCAAAAAATGATGAAGAATACTAAAAATACTAAATAATATTCAAAATAAAGTGTGTGTTCTCATACTTGCTGTGTGTGTCTGGAGGTGCGTTTAATTGGAGTTTTTTCACCAGCATCTCACTGCTTCTGCGCAGCACATCTCTGAGACGCCCGATAGAGCTGCTGCGCTGCAGAACACCGCTGCCATCCTGCACACACACACACACACACACACACACGCTCAATATCCTGCACACACACACACACACACTCAATATACTGCACACACACACA